TTGTGGTTGCCAGGGGGGTGGAGGGTGGGAAGGGATAGACTGGGATTTCAAAATTGTAGGATAGATAAACAAGATTACACTGTATAGCACAGGGAAATATACACAAAATGTTATGATAACTCACAGAGAAAAAAATGTGACAATGAGTGTGTATATGTCCATGAATGACTGAAAAGTTGTGCTGAACACTGGAATTTGACACAACATTGTAAAATGATTATAAATCAATAAAAAATGTTAAAAAATAAAAAAATAAAAAAAAAGAATATGAACTTTTGAATCAGACAGACATGAATATAAGTTGAGGAACTGCCAACTCCTTTTCTGTGACTTTGAACAAGTCACTTAACATCTCTAAGCCTTAGAAAGTGATGGCACTAGTGCCAAACTTATAGGTACATTGAAAGGATTAAAGGGGGTAAATGCAGAGCAAGGCTTTAGCATAGGGCCTTGGATATTAAAGACATGCAATAAAGGTTATAATCATTCAAATCATAATTACAAGTAAAACAACTATGTCCAAGGTCCATTCTTGAAATAAAAATAGAGTTTTTCAAATGGCTTCTAAAGACCTGCTATTTATTTATCCTTTCTCTTTGGTGAGCTGATCAATATGGAAGTTAAGATCAGAACAAAGCAATGAAGAAACAAGAGCCTGACTTGGAGTGGAAAGCACTCCCTCCCTTGGACACCACCCTCCCAAGGCAGCAGTGAGCGTCCCTTCCATATTCCCCCACCTCTGCTTCAAGTTTCATTTTCACTAAACCCCAAGGCTTCTGGAAAAAGAGAAAAATAAAACGCTGCATGGTATTTCATCTAAGGCGAAAATAGGTTCCTGGGACAACACCAGTAAGACAAGCTGTTTTTTCATTAGAGGTTAAATTCTTTTCAGATTCAATGTAGAATAAATTTAGATCATAACATTCAATAGCTAAACAGCTATACAGCTAGTAAACTGAATAAAAATCTAACGTCAGGGCACCTCTGATGAATGCAGTCTTTGTGCAAGCCGCTTTTTATCATCTACTTGCTCATTTCTTTCAATATAGAATTGCCTTCAGGTAGAGCCTTGAATCATTTTTACTCCACTGTACAAATGTTTCAAAAGCAAAGCTTAAGGTCAAAAAGAGATGCAGATGGAGAGAGGGTTTGCTTGAGGGAGGCTGCTGATGAAACTGGGTAGAACCTGGCCAAACCTGACTTCTCTTTCAGGAATGGACTCACTAAGGTGCCCAGAGACTGCTATAAAGTCAGAACACCACCTTATCACTTTCCAGTGAAATTAGAAATTCTGAGGTGATCACACATGTTCTTCTTTTGACCTGTGCACGCTACCTACATGTGAGGGCCAGTATTAATCAGAATGTGGCTCCTCAACAGGGGATGAGAACAATTTATTCATTCAATATCCATTCACTGAAGGGTTGCTATGAGTCTGGGTCTGCGTAAGGCACTGTGAATGAGGAACCAATCATACTTCACCTTTTCCTTTATATAATCCAAAATGTATTAAAGGACATAAGCAGGTAGATAAGTAAGTATGAAATGATGCAGAACTTGCATAATGTGACATGGAAAGAGTACGATGCTGTAGGAGCCTGGGGCAGAGGCATCTCTCCCAGTGAGAGGGGCTGAAGTGGAGGGAGTTGGGAGATGTTGAGAGGCACTGATCCTGGAGCTTAGACCTAAAGGATGGGTTAAATGTAGCAGATGAAGAGCTGGGAGAGCTGGCGGGGAATGGTAGGGAGAGGGAGGCAGGGAAGCGTGTCTTACCAGTCCTAGTTATCTTGGCTCATTAACCATAGACCTTCAGCTCTGCAGGAGTGTTTCAAGATGGCTGTTATTTCCACAGTAGAGATAAAGTTTCCTCAGAGTCCAGACCAGGTGTCCTTATGCACCTTTCCCTCTGGACGTTGCTAAGAAGGCCAATGTCAATCGTTCCCTTGGTGAGTGTCCCACTGAGTAACATCCTCTTGTTGAAAAGTCAAACCAAACTTGCAGGCCT